AAAAATTTTATAGTAACTGCCGAAATGTTTATAAAACTATTTTATAGTGTTTGTAAAAGGCCTTACAAAATATTGATAAAGACTATAATGTTTTATAAAACGGTGCCAATTTCCTATTTATAGCAGTTTTATAAACACATTGAAAACTTTTCTGGGAGAAATGCAGTTTAATAATTTGTTTTTCTGAAACATTTCCGCAACTATTATAAAATACAAAATTGCTAGTTGGGTAGTAGATGAGGCATCATTGTGAAATTAACTTCAAGACAATTAAGACGCAAGTACCTAGCAGAGTTATGAATGAGGACAACATTGTACGTAGATTTATTTCAATCCTTATCACTTGGTGATTGAAACACGTTTCGAGGTGTGAAAAATTATGGTTTGGTGTTGTGATTGATCTTGAGTAATATTCTTTTTTTTTTCGGATATCCACCTTTCACAATCTGGAGAAATATTCAAATTGGTATGAGAAACTATATACAGGATGGGGCACCCCACACGACACAACTGACTGTTGATTGACACTGGAAGTCACAGCATTCTGGAAATGACCACTGACTTTATGACTCCAACTGTCAACTACGAACTGCCATAAAGTACTATTCCCGAGTAGAGAGGACTGAATCCTCCGGGAAGAGGAAATATTAAGAGCAAATAGTTATTGATTCACAGATGGATCAAAAAAACCTTCCGGTTCTGGTGCAGGTGTTTTCAGTCGCAGACCCAGGACAGAGATATCTACCTGCCTAGGAACTCATGCGACTGTATTTCAAGCGGTAATTATTTACGCTGTTGAATTGTGTGCGGAGAGATTGGATGAATTCAACCTTACACACAAGTCAATAAAAATATCATCAGACAGTCAAGCAGCGTTGGAAGCTCTTGACTCCTGCCAAGCAACGTCTAAATTGGTAGCAAATTGACAAAAACAACTCTCCTCAATTGGAAGACGTGATATATTTTCTCTGGTCTGGATTCCTGGCCATACTGGCCTGGAAGGTAATGAAGTGCTGACTCTCTTGCAAATGATAGTGCTGCAAGCAGCTTCAACGGACCAAAAACTGTAATTGGCATCGCTTTGGGCTTTGCCAAACAAAGATTGAACACCTGGATGGCAAGAAGATTTATGGACTTCTGGCAGAATCTTCCAGGATTGGCTCACTCCAAAGCGTTTATTCACCCTTCGAAGCTTGATACCAAACAGTTGTTGGACAACAGTCGGAATGAACTACGATGTCTAACAGGACTTCACATTGGAATCATCATATGAAGAGACTTAGACTGTCGGAAGGCAGTGTGTGTCGCCTCTGTTCGGAAAATGATGAAACAGCAGAGCAGATACTTTGTGCCTGCCCCGCTGGGGTCCGGATCAGATTCTTACAGTTCGGCTGATCCGTTCTCTTACCATTCGACCTGAAAGATCACTCACCATACAAACTAATCAGCTTCGTTAAGAAGCTGGGTTTATTTGGCCGAGTGTGAATAAGTGTGAGCCATAATAGGGGCGAATAGACCCACTCACTTTGGAACTAACCTAACCTAACCCCACACACCACTGTTACTGTAAACCAAATCATAAATTTTTTCGAAAATTTCTGTTTTCAATTATATGTATGTTGATTGTGGCTGCAGGAGGATACTATTTTGGAGTCTACAGGGTAGCTCAAAAAAGTGTGACAACAAAGTTTTTGTTTTTATAATGAAACACCCTGAATGTCTTCACACTTTGGGGTGGGTAAAGAAAAAATAATGATTCCATATGAGGTACTATGTATCTAACTATGTCATTTTTCGAGTTATTGAAATTTTGTGAATCTCTTTTTTTGACCAAGGAGCATGGAGACATTTCTCAAATACTCACACAGCATCCAACCATAAGGGATAGTTAACTTTCTCTTGAATAATTTTAAGATTCTCGTTAGTTTCATATGAATTGATTATGCTACAGGCACTGAAGCATTAGTATTTCCGTTTCAAGTTTGTTTTTGATAATGGCATTATCTCGTCCATCAAGAAATGTAAAATACAGGCGTATGCTGATGACATACAATTATACATGCACTTCAAAATCGATAAGTGTGCTGAGATACAAAATCTCTTCAACACTGATCTATATTTGATCAATGGGCTATCAAGTGAACATGATTTGAAAGTTAATCCTAATAAAACAATGATGATGCACTTTGGATCGCAGAAGAATCGTAAATTTGCAGAAAACAATTTCCGTTTAGAACTAGGTCATACTATCTTGACTCCTGTCAATACAGCTAAAACTTAGGGGTCATGCTTGACACTGATCTTAGATTCACTAATCATGTTAAAAATTTAATGAAAAAAGCTTGTATGTCATTGAAACTGTTATACTGTAATCGTTTTATTTTGAGCCAACCTTCCAAGGAGTACCAGAATCTCCTGTAACCTATTTTCATTTTTAAATATATCTTTGTATTGTTTTTTTGTTTTATCAATAGAGCCGATTTATTATCATGTTTCAAGTTCCAATATATGTTTCTCTTCCAGTCTAGAAACCAGTAATTTCTCCTTTACCCTAGTCAAACGCATATCCCTCACTGAATCATTCAACTCTGCTTGTGTAAATCATTGTAGTGGTCAATTGTCCGGAGTACACTGGAAATTGGTGGAAGGTCATCTTTAATTTAGACAAGTTGGAGCCTGGCTCCCTTACCCATTGGACTGATGTTTGCCAGAAGGACAAACGGGTCATAACTGATGTGGATGTTGATGGTATGGCGGCATGAGTATCCTCAGACATCAGTACCGCCCTTCACGGTGTACCCCTGCCTGGCTGGGGTGAATTGGATGGAAACGTTGTTCATCTTTCAACGGAAGATATAGGGGCCTCATTCGCCAGAGTGTCGGGGCCTTCTATATCGGGAGGGGTCGTCTACAGTATAGTCCATAGCTTCCCTGACTAACTGGAAATTTTCATACATAGGGTTGCCTTTTATGTTTCGCGATTTGGCAACCCTAGTGTTGCAATCTGGCAACTGACAGCTCTATCGAAAAGTTGGACACTTTTGAGCTTATACGTACTCGGAACGTACATGCGAGCATACGACATACGAGCGCTACGAGCGCTATTTGTGTTGTTTACAGTAACTCAAAAGATTCATTTCGGCCCAGAAATGGAACTGAATTGTGAACATTTTCGTGCGATTATTTTTTACAACTATCGACTCTGCAACAGTGCATGGATGAACTCAATTCAATTTTTGGCGATAAAGCTCCATCAAGGGCCAGTGTTTATCGATGGTATGGTATCCAAGATGAATTCCGTGAAGGTCGTTCGAAATCAGTTGTTGTTCCGAAAACCATTGATGCTGTGCGCGAACTGATATCGCATGATCGTCATGTGACCTATCGTGAGATTGAGAAGAACTTAGACATTAGTGGGACCAGCATACATTCAATACTGCATAAACATTTGACTGTCAAAAAAATTTGTACGTGTTGGATCCCTCACCATTTGTCAATTGCTCAAAAAAAGACTCGTGTCGATTGGTCGAAGGAAATGCAAAAAAAATACAATTGCTGTGCTTCGAAACACGTCTTTGACTTCGTGACAGGTGACGAGGTGATGACAGCAGTCAACTGTCTGGGTGTTTCACGATGATCCAAATTCAACAAAAGTTGTTCGCTCACGAAGCACTTCCAGGCAAATGGTCGCCTGTTTTTTCAGAAAAACTGGACATGTCGCAACCGAAACACTAGAACGACGTAGAACAATCAATTGTGAGTAGTATACAACCATTTGTTTACCAGTTGTCTTCCAAGAAATCAGGAAAACCAACCGCCGAAGACGGATGTGAGCTCTCACACATCGGCTCAAATAACTGCATTTTTGAGAACCCAAAACATCAATTTGATGAGTCATTTGCCGGATGGTACCGAATGACTTCTTTTCATTCCCGCACGTAAAAAAAAACTGAGAGGTCAACGTTTTTCGACACCTTGAGATGCGTTGCTGCATTCAGAATGCATGTTTTGGAGATACCTCAATCAGAATGGCAAAAGTGCTTCGACAATTAGTTCAAGCGCATGCAAAAATGTATAGATCTTCATGGGGAATATTTTCGAAAACAATAAAGTGATTTTCGATGATTAATATTTGTTTTTGTTCTCTAATCTTGGAATATAAAAGGCAATTTGATATAACAGTTTATAATATACATGGTTATAAAACACTGTATAACTCAGGCATTTACAACCAGAATGATGGAGTAGTTGCGTTTATTAGATCAGATATCTATCACTCCCATAAAATTTTAGCCCTGAATGGTAGCTTTCTCATTAGAATTAAAACTATTTCACAAAACAATACTTTAATAAAAAATGCATTCTACAGATCACCAGCAAGTGATATAGAGACTTTTATAGACGAACTGAATGATATACTGAAAACACAGACTGAAACTTATGACTATAACATTTTCATAGGAGATATCAACATCGATTTGATGATAGACAGTATAGGAACAAGAAATTATTTAAACACATTAAGTGAACTTGGTTTTCGATCAGCGATAAACACTCCAACCAGAGTTCAAAAAAATGCAAGATCATGTCTAGACCATATATTTATTCATTCAAAACAAAATATGTATGACACTATCTTGCCGATAACCGTTGAAAGTTCAATTACCGACCATTATACAACTTATTCAAATGATAATGGACAATAAAAACGGTAAAAACTTCACAAACAGAAATAAATACTTTCAACAAATTGATAAAAATAAATTGATAACGGTAATGTAAAAAACGAAGTGGAATGATCTCCTGCTGGAACAAGATCTGGAGACTGTATCAAATAGACTAGTTGTTATGATAAAAGAATGCGTTCAAAAAGCTACAAAATACATCAAAATTAAAAATGATGAAAGAAAACGAAAAAAATGGATCACTAATTCCTTGATTAAAATGATTAACAAAAAAAATCACATTTATCAAAAAATCAAAAAAGATCCAAATAATGACACACTGAAAAAAGAGTACCGAGATCACAAAAAACAGGTCGAAATATCAATTTTAGAGGCAAAAAAGGCATTTTACGGAAAACTGGTTGAAAAAGAACAAAACTCATCAAAAAAATTATGGAAAACCGTTAACGAGATAGTCGGCAAACCAGATAATAATGAAGAAATCAATGAAGTGAAAGACAAAAATGGTCAAATGATAACCGAAACCAAAAAAATTGCCGAAACCTTCAATGAATTTTTCATTAATGTAGGAAAACAATTATCAAGTTCAATAAATAGACCCAGTAATTATAAAGAAAAGAAAACTGTAAGTTGTCACTCCCTCTTTCTCGCCCCCACAGACCCGATTGAAGTGAAAAACATAATAAATGAATTGAAATTCAAAAAATCACCTGGACATGATGGTATAACTGCAGAAACATTGGTTTTAATGTGCGACGCCATTGTACTACCACTAACATTTATTATCAATAAATCATTAGAAAAGGGTGTCTTTCCTGAAACTTTCAAACTATCGATTGTTAAACCAATCTATAAAAATGGCGAGAGGAGTGAAGTGACAAATTACAGACCAATATCC